CCACGCCTTTAATGGTCCTTAAAAAACTTTACTTTTAAAAATCCATGCCTTTTATTGTCCTTGAAAAAATCTACTTTTAAAACTCCACGCCTTTAATGGTCCTTGAAAAAATCTACATTTAAAATCCACACCTTAAATGGTCCTTGAAAAAAACCACAACTTAAATGGTCCTTGAAAAATCCACGCCTTAAATGGTCCTTGAAAAAATATTCTTTAAAAATCCACGCCTTAAATGGTCCTTGAAAAAATATTCTTTAAAAAATCCACGCCTTAAATGGTCCTTGAAAAAATATTCTTTAAAAAATCCACGCCTTAAATGGTCCTTGAAAAAATATTCTTTAAAAAATCCACGCCTTAAATGGTCCTTGAAAAAATATTCTTTAAAAAATCCACGCCTTAAATGGTCCTTGAAAAAATATTCTTTAAAAAATCCACGCCTTAAATGGTCCTTGAAAAAAAATACTTTAAAAAATCCACGCCTTAAATGGTCCTTGAAAAAAAATTCTTTAAAAAATCCACGCCTTAAATGGTCCTTGAAAAAATATTCTTTAAAAAAACCACGCCTTAAATGGTCATTGAACAAATCTGCTTTAAAAAATCCACGCCTGGATTTGATCTTTGAAAAAATCTTCTTTAAAAAATCCACGCCGTAAATGGTTCATGAAAAAATATTCTTTAAAAAATCCACGCCGTAAATGGTTCATGAAAAAATATTCTTTAAAAAATCCACGCCTTAAATGGTCCTTGAAAAAATATTCTTTAAAAAATCCACGCCTTAAATGGTCCTTGAAAAAATATTCTTTAAAAAATCCACGCCTTAAATGGTCCTTGAAAAAATATTCTTTAAAAAATCCACGCCTTAAATGGTCCTTGAAAAAATATTCTTTAAAAAATCCACGCCTTAAATGGTCCTTGAAAAAATATTCTTTAAAAAATCCACGCCTTAAATGGTCCTTGAAAAAATATTCTTTAAAAAATCCACGCCTTAAATGGTCCTTGAAAAAATATTCTTTAAAAAATCCACGCCTTAAATGGTCCTTGAAAAAATATTCTTTAAAAAATCCACGCCTTAAATGGTCCTTGAAAAAATATTCTTTAAAAAATCCACGCCTTAAATGGTCCTTGAAAAAATATTCTTTAAAAAATCCACGCCTTAAATGGTCCTTGAAAAAATATTCTTTAAAAAATCCACGCCTTAAATGGTCCTTGAAAAAATATTCTTTAAAAAATCCACGCCTTAAATGGTCCTTGAAAAAATATTCTTTAAAAAATCCACGCCTTAAATGGTCCTTGAAAAAATATTCTTTAAAAAATCCACGCCTTAAATGGTCCTTGAAAAAATATTCTTTAAAAAATCCACGCCTTAAATGGTCCTTGAAAAAATATTCTTTAAAAAATCCACGCCTTAAATGGTCCTTGAAAAAATATTCTTTAAAAAATCCACGCCTTAAATGGTCCTTGAAAAAATATTCTTTAAAAAATCCACGCCTTAAATGGTCCTTGAAAAAATATTCTTTAAAAAATCCACGCCTTAAATGGTCCTTGAAAAAATATTCTTTAAAAAATCCACGCCTTAAATGGTCCTTGAAAAAATATTCTTTAAAAAATCCACGCCTTAAATGGTCCTTGAAAAAATATTCTTTAAAAAATCCACGCCTTAAATGGTCCTTGAAAAAATATTCTTTAAAAAATCCACGCCTTAAATGGTCCTTGAAAAAATAATCTTTAAAAAATCCACGCCTTAAATGGTCTTTGAAAAAATATTCTTTAAAAAATCCTCGCCTTAAATGGTCCTTGAAAAAATATTCTTTAAAAAATCTAAAAAATCCACGCCTTAAATGGTCCTTGAAAAAATATGCTTTAAAAAATCCACGCCTTAAATGGTCCTTGAAAAAATATGCTTTAAAAAATCCACGCCTTAAATGGTCCTTGAAAAAATATGCTTTAAAAAATCCACGCCTTAAATGGTCCTTGAAAAAATATTCTTTAAAAAATCCAGGCCTTAAATGGTCCTTGAAAAAATATTATTTAAAAAATCCACGCCTTAAATGGTCCTTGAAAAAATATTCTTTAAAAAATCCACGCCTTAAATGGTCCTTGAAAAAATATTCTTTAAAAAATCCACGCCTTAAATGGTCCTTGAAAAAATATTCTTTAAAAAATCCACGCCTTAAATGGTCCTTGAAGAAATATTCTTTTAAAAGAATCCACACCACTTTTTGTCCTTGAAAAAATCTTCTTTAAAAAAATCAACGCCTTGTTTTCGCCTTAAAAAATATTTTTATTATCCTTGAAAAAAGTATTCTTAAAAAAATCGAATCATTTTTTTAAAATCCAATCTTTGAATTGTACTTGTCGTTTTTTTTCAATCTATATTCTCAAAATATATTATTTTTTTTGTTCTGAAGGTAAGAGCTTGCCATCGTATAAAAAATAAATATGTATGCTGAGTGAGTGTTGTGTGGCTTTTGTTCGCATGCTTTATTTAGCTTAGCACAGCATTGCTAGATATTGAATAGCCCTGAAAACAACTTTCATCTCTAACTTAAGAATAAAAAAGCAATTTCAAAATGCTTAAACCGGAACAACCCAACCAAAATAATAAAACTATATGAACTTTTTTCGTGGTGCAGTTCACAGTCAAAACTTTCAAAAGTTATTGATGATGGGAGCTAAAAATCTGAAGGGCTTTAGTAAGATGACATTTTGGATTATTCTTGAACTTTTATGTTTAATTGCAATTTATTTGTTAGCTTAATATAAAAAGTCTAATGAAAAATAATAACAATGCACAATTGGATAAAAATAAAAAAAAAATCGTATAATATTCTCAATGTTGGAATCACTAAGCAACGATCCAAAATCCACTATATATTTGACCACTTTTCGCCGTGGATTTAAAATTTTAAAAACCAGTCGAAATTTGAAATTTTAAAAATTGTTTATAATGATCAATCGATTTTTTTTTTTGAAAATAACCCATAATTGGCAATGGATTTTTAATTTTTTTTTTATTCTGAAAGAATAGCTAATTTTGTATTTTATCTTTGCGTAATTTGTTTTTTAATTTTATTTTTTATAAAGAAAAAAATACAAGAATGCTCTTTCAAGCCAAAAAAAAGTTGTTATGTAGTATAAAACTTTATTAGTATTAAAAACTGATTATTTCCATTCACCAAATGTCATCTAGCTAAAGCCCTTCAGATTTTTGGCTCCCATCACCAATAACTTTTGAAAGTTTTGAATGCGACTCTACAAGAGCTACATTTTTTAAAAAGTTTCATAAAATTTTTGTTTTGTTCTTGTTGTTGTCGTGGTTTTAAGCATTTCGAAATTGCTTTTTTGCTGTTCTTAAGTTTTATGAAAGTTATTTTCATGGGTATTAAAATATCGGCCATATGACACAGCATAGGGAATAAAAAGCCAAACAACACTCAGCGTACATATTTATTTGCCTCTACGACAAGCTCTACCCTCCCGCCCCTACTCACAAAGAGAACTTTAAGCTATGCAACATAGAAGTAGTTACAGGATTACATGAGGTGTATTTTTAGTAGAAGGATATATTTTTTGCAAATATTGTCAGACAAGACGTAATTTTTTTAAAGAATATTTTTTCAGGGACCATCCAAGGCATGGTTTTTTTTAAAGAATATCTTATCAGGGTCTATAAGAGGCGTGGATTATTAAAAGAATATTTTTTCAGGGTCTATAAGAGGCGTGGATTATTAAAAGAATATTTTTTCAGGGTCTATAAGAGGCGTGGATTATTAAAAGAATATTTTTTCAGGGTCTATAAGAGGCGTGAATTATTAAGGGAACCCCCCCCCCATTCTCGATTTTAATTTTTCAAGATTTTTAATGGGCTGGTAAATCAATACCAATGCTTGCTAAGGTTTGTAAATTTGCACATATATAATTGAAGATTTAAAATAGAAGAAAAATAATTTACAAAACATTTTTGTTGTTGTTTTTGTAATTAAAGAAAAGTCCTTATTTTTGATGGCGGGCATGATAACTCCTCACTGGAACATCGGAATCCGAAAATTCCAACGGTGTTAGAAAGAGTACATTTCTGGCTCTCGTATGAACTAGGATTATTGACTTCGCTCTAAAATTAAAAAAATGGTGGACCTTTGAAAAAATATTTTTGGAAAATCGCCGATTTTTTACCAAAACCCAAGTTAAAAAATAAGGAATATCTTCACCGATTGGCTTTATCCTATTTAATATATACACTCGCAGAGAAACGTGTAAAAATTTGAAATCGATTGGGTTATTACTTTTTGAGTTATCGTGCCCGCCATTCGCAAAAAAATGTTTAAGAAAAATATTTTTCAAGTTTAATATAAGCCGTCACTTGATTTTGACACAATAAATTTATCTTCAATACTTTTAAGATTTTTATTTGAAATTTTGTTATTCTTTAATTAAGTAGATTGGATTTATATCAACAAAATATTTTTTCAAGGACCATTTATTTTTTCAGGTTCTATAAGAGAGGTGTGGATTATTAAATGAATATTTTTTCAAGGACCATTTATTTTTTCAGGTTCTATAAGAGGCGTTGATTATTAAAAGAATATTTTTTCATTTAATATAAGAGGCGTGGATTTTTAAAAGAATATTTGTTTTCCTACCGAAATTTTCTGAATGTTTAAAAAAATAATTTCACTGTGTAATGCACTTTTGGCACCAACTACAACTATGCAATTTTCAATTATTTTCATCAGCACTGCATCTTTCAAAATCTATTTTTAAAAATTGACAATTTTACACACAACTGTTGTCAATACCAACACAAAAAAGACCAAAAGACTTTTGCAATAAGCAAATATTGCTATAAGAACTAAATGTAAGTCAGTTTAAATATTTTAAAAAAATATAATAAATAAATCAAAATAATTAATTACAAAAGAACAACAAAAAATTAAAATTTAAAATCTGTGAACATTATTCCAATATTTAAAATTGCTTGAATATTGAATAATAGCAACTATTTACAATTTTCTTCATTACAGTCATTGCATAACCGCCCAAAAGAAAACATACAACACTCAAAATGGTTTTGCCCGAAGGTCTTGCCAAGAACATGGAAAAATTCCAAGTATGTAAAATATAATATTTGTAATATTTATTTTTTTATTATTAATTTATATTTTTTGGTAAAAATTACAGGCCAAGAGCACCCTGCCCGTTTTCTTGAAGGGTGGCCCAGCCGATAAGGCCTTGTTTGGCCTTACCGTTGGCCTCTGCGGTGTTGGTCTTTTGGGTATTTTACATATGGTCTACAGCTTGGGTTTCGCCAAGAAGTCGAGTTAAGGACATAGGAATTATTCTTTAATATAGAACACATGTAAATTCTTAATAAAAGTGCTATAAATATTGGCAAGTGAGAACATTAGTCTATTTTTTAATTTAAAAAATAATTAAGTTTATATTAAAACCAGTGAGCGGAGCAGTATAGTTGGACGGGGACGACCATATTATAACCTACACAACTTCCACGAAAACCTAACTTTCTGTGGCTCTATATTTTGAGCTTTGGCAATATTTCGCGATATTTGCACGCGATATTCGACTAGAGGTCAACCAATATTATTAATATTCAGTACAGCTCTTCTAATTACTTCTCCAGATTCCCTTCACCGTGTGTTGTGTTGAGATGTTCAGCATTCAATTGTGGCATATAGATCGACTTGAAAAAACACAACAAATTAAATTTTCGGTACACTTCATCGTAAAATTATTATCTGTTCACCACCGAAAATTATAGGCGTTGTCCTTGACCATTCCTGGATCCTCATAGAAAATTTGAAAGCGATCAGCACTATATTTCCACCCTCTAATGTGGAAATGGAATACTAAATAATATATGAATACGTAAGCACCTGTAAATATGTACATACGAAAATATAATTTGTATCAATTTAAAGGTCAACCACTCCTCTTCGATATACTATCTCGGGTCTATATCCTTCAGGAGTAAATATATACACCATTGAATACAAATTTCAGGGTCCATTTGACCCGCTAAATACTGACCGATCTTTGTCAAAACTGGCATGGTTATTATTTGGCCCGATCCCCTTCTCCATGTAGAATTTCGCGATGTTTGGGTCATAATTGCGGCCTCTGGAGCGACAAAAAAATCAGACAAAAATTAAGTATTCTGTCCATTTCATCCCCTATCTTTACAAAAAACAATAGGGGTCTTCATTGGCCTTGGATCCATCCAAGTGGGGGAATCCTCATCCATTCTCACAACATGACCTTGCCAACGTAGTCCCAGAATATATAGTATGGCGACGATATTTATCGTCGACGCAGATCGGCCCATAGATCTTCAAACACTCCAAGACCTGCTTTATCTGATTGCCCAAGTACCCATACTTCAGATACATACAATAGCACGGGTAATATTAGCGTCTTGTAGAGTGTGAGTTTGGTCTAGCGAGAGTGGCCTTGCTTTTGAGTTGCTTACTCAGACCATAGAAACATCTGTTGGCCAAAACTATTCTTCTCCGGATTTCAAAGCTGATGTTATTAGTTTTGTTTAAGGTGGTACCGAGGTATATAAAATCGTTCACTACCTCAAAGCTGTAGTTTACAAGTTCCAAAGTTGTTTCGAGTCTACAGGACGTCTTGCGCGTTGATATACCATTGGCTTTGTCTTCCCGCCATTTGCTGTCAGTCCTACTTTGACAGACTTCTCATCCAGCAGTATATATGATGAATAAAAAATAGAAGAGGCAGCTGACCTGCGGGCCTTCTTATCTGTGAATCTGGATCCATCCAAATTCAACACACTTTCGGACAGACAATTTATTAATCAAGTTGTCACTCTTGGCACAATTAATGCTGTTTGCCTTCAGAAGTGCTAACCTATGCAGAATTTCGTTGATACACACCGATGTGGACTTCGTCTTCTGATATGTGCAGGTCCTAGTTAGAAGAGCTTTACATTCTCCCAATTGATATTGAATTCTCTCTTTGATCATTTGGTTGCAATACTTCGTAAGAATACCCATATTGTATTAGCGAAATTTGCATGACGAAATCCAAGGGTTCCTGCGGAACTTTGATGGCTCTTATCATCGAAAACTGCATATCAGAAAAAAACTGCATCGTAGTAATCAGATAGATTTGTTGTGAGTCCCAGAACCTGCAAAAATCTTCTAATTATCGAAATTTTTATGGAAAGGCGTTTTTCAGAAGTTCTACTCTATTTCCAACTGATTTCTAAACTTTTTCGCTGCAAGAATCTTCTATTAACCGCAATTTTACGAAGAAGTTCCACTGTATTGCCATCTAATTTCTAAACATTTTCGCTGTTATGTTTTCACCCTCTTTCGTAAACACTGAAATAAAAACACTCACTTTGCTTTGTATTCAATCGTTATCGGTCCTTCTCCATCTACAATTTGAACTACCACTAGTTCCCCATGTTCATTTCACTGAATCATTGATTCATTTGAACTCATTCGTTATCGATAAGTTTGCAAAGTGGAAAAAAGGGTCTGAAGCATAATAATATTTTTTATTTATAACTTATTAAAGATTTTTTTCTTGCAAAATGAACTGACCCACACACTTCGTACATTACAATGATACAGTGGAATAAATATACGAATTAAAATTAAACGGGGCTCGTCAATAAATTCTCGAATATTGGCTGTTTGTGTCGGGCTGTTTTGATTTTGACAAAGACAAGAAAAAAATCTATACAAAAAGAGGTGCTGCAGAAGAAGAAGAGGGAGGAAGAGCAAGAAGGTGAACAAAAAATCAAAACAACAATAGCTTCCAATTAATCATAATACAGCAGAAGACCATCATCCTCATGGAACCCAATGACGAAGTGGTGGAACGCCAAAAACTGGTCGATGTCGAAACCGAAGAAGATGTTACAAACAGCGCCCCCAAATCAGCTCCAACTCCTGCCTCACCAATGGCCGTGCCCAAAATTAATGTAAGTTCTCTAGTGTGTGTGTTTGTTTGTCTGGCAATCGATCTCACTGCTGCCTCTATGCTGCTGCTGGTGGCGGTGGTCGTGCTGGCGATTGAACTTTGTCTTATCTCTCTAAACCCACATTGCATTGCTCATTTCCTCTGTTTATTGTTGTTGTTGTTCTTGTTATAGATTAAGAGTATATCTAGTGGTGAAACAACTCGTAGCCGTAATTCCGCCTCATGTTCCATTGAACGTTCTGATAAAATCGGCCAAACATCTGCCAAAGTAACCTATATCAATGAAAGACGTCCGCGACCGCATTTGCATGGCACCAATGATGAACGGTTTGAATTCAAATCAAGACCCCGTAAACTATTAAAAGGTATGTTATTTTAGAAAGCATTTGTGGGTAGATGAGATGATCAACCCCGCATAGTATGTTTTTGATAAATCTAGTGTTTCTCATGAAAAAAGTCGCTGAGGGCGTGTCTGGTGTTCATCAAAAACTAAAATCCATCTACTATTGTTGTCATATATCAATTGGCATTATCCTGGAACATTAATAGAATTGTTCATTTCAATATTCCATTTCAAATCATAAATTATTTGATTTACATTTTCATATTTTCTTTGTCTTTTGTGTTTTTCCATTTTTATAGTTTATATATTTCTTGTTATCAGTATAATTTTTTATGTATAGTTTTTTTATTATTCGTTTTCATATCAACTAATTACTAATAATACATTTTACATATGATTCTAAAAGAGTTCTATGTGCGGAAGAAGCTAATCACTTCAGAATTTATAACATTTAGTTCTTAAGGCAACACAACACATCCTGACTTACAAATTGGCTAAAACTATGAGAGCGTCAAAATACCATTTTAGAAGCCCCAAAATATTTTTTTCCGAGATTTTTGTAAGACTTCAACAAAAATAATCTTTTAACACTCCTCGATATTTTTTTGTAGGTCTACATAAAATATGTTATGCGGATTATGTGGATGATGTAATTAATAGGTGGTGGTTGCTTCATATTAAAGATGTTCAGGATCTATTCCGCAAAAGAAAGCTAGGTTATCAATTCAATAATTACCAAACAGTCGATGTCTTCTGCTTCTTAGTGATGGTCATCTACATAGTATATTTTTAAATTTGTGTAGCTCTCCCTCATCCTCGTATGAACGGCAAGTTTATCATTACCGTTAATATTAAAGGATGTTCAGGATCTATTCCGCAGAAGAATGCTAGGTTATCAATTCAATAATTACCAAACAGTCGAGGTCTTCTGCTTCTTAGTGATTGTCATCTACAGAGTATATTTTTAATTTTTGTAGCTCTCCCTCATCCTCGTATAAACGGCAATGATAAACTTCGTTGATGACCCATTTGGAAGTGAGTGATTTAATATCCATTTTCATGATTTTGATTTTGATCTCCCTCTTCATATGAGACATCAACGAAGTAGTTCTACGAACACTCAGGTCACACATCCTTTGAAATCCTTCCTCACAGTAATTCTTAAGGATTTCGCTAATGAAGTAACCGAGCAAGCTCATTTTTGGTAAACTCAATAAATATTAAAGTTTTGTCCTAGATTGTCAGCAGTTATTGTTTGGCGGGGGGCAGAGCTGAATGCTAACGGACGCGTCCACGGGTTGCGGATAGTGGGAAGCTCAATACTATTCAATGGGTAACTGTGAATAACAAATAAACAGTCGCGGACAATCAGGGAGAAAGTCTCAGAGGAAATGACCGAGAGCCTATGATCCTGAGATCGTATCGTATCCTAAGAGGCGTATCTTCTCAATTTATTAGAGGAAACCGGCTCCTTCCGCCTTAGCCAGGAGAGCATCCCGAATCAACTTTCATATCATGGAAACTGCAGTGATTAGCACTACAGTGACGAACACTTTAGCTATCCAGGTTTCTCCTCCGAAGCAAGCTAAGTCCTTCCAGATGATGAGTAGGGGTGTTAACTCTGGCGAGGTTGAGGATCCGAACTCTATCTCCATGGCCTGTAGTGACGTCGCGAGACTACAGGCCATGGATGACGTCGCGATTATCAGTTGGATGTCCAGGAACTGCAAAATGATGAAGACCAGGAACTGCAAGACAAGTCAACGCCTAGGAGATCGCTGCCAATAAGATGTACCGAAGAGGGGTGAACTACTGCAACCGATTCATTGGACGGGACAGTGACTCTATCACGGAAAAGGAGTTCCTTTTGATCAAGAGGAACCTCAAATTCATTGGGAAGTTCTCCAGGAACTATCCAAATGATATTGCGAGGGACTTCTTGATTGAAAGGATTCCTAGATCTAGTACGAATGCCACCACGGCAGTCTCTTCAAAGAAGAAGAAAACTGTTGGAGGTCCTAGCATATCTAGAATGATGGTGACTGAAACGCCTAAAAAAAATAGGTCTCCAAAAAATACACGTCAACTATAGACCTCCAATTTTTTTCTAAATCCACGTTTAATATACTCTACAGAGTATATTTTTAATTTTTTATAGCTCTCCCTCATCCTCGTATAAAGGGGAATGATCGACTTTTTTGAAGTCACATTAGGAAGTGAGTGATTTAATCCTACAGGGACATGTTATGATTCATACAGTTAATTTGATCTCCCTTTTCATATGAGACATCAACAAAGTTGTTCTACGACGTGAACACTCAGGTCACACATCCTTTGAAATCCTTCCTCACAGTAATTCTTTTGGGAAACTAACAAATATTAAAGTTTTGTCCTACATGGGTATTTAGCCGCTTTCGGGGAGCAGAGCTGAATGCTAACGGACACGTCCACAGGTTGCGGATAGTGGGAAGCCCAATACTATTCATTGGGTAACTGTGAATAACAAATAAACAGTCGCGGACAATCAGCGGGCTCTGGGGGAAATTCTCGGAGGAAATGATCGAGAGCCTATGATCCCTGAGCTGACGAGGCGAGAATGGCGTCCCTAAATAACCATCTCAAGGTCTGGGTCACTACAATATGTTATGCGATTTTTCGACTGATGCTGGTGTGACTGCCTTGGCACCCTCAGTCTCGAACTCTACAAGGTCAGACTTCAATGAACCCCCACACATGTTGACGACCCAATCTAATCCTCTGGACCTCTCTTTTGTTTCAAGTCTTGTTACTCTCGACGACGTGAACGCAAGCTTGGAGAGGCAGAAGGATTTATTAGATGAAACCGGCTCCTTTCGCCTTAGTCAGGAGAGCATTCCGAATTAACTCTAAGACGACTCACCCTTGTCAGACAAGGAATACATCATGGAAACTACAGTGATTAGCACTACGATGGCGAACACGGTAGCTATCATGGTGCCTCCTCCGAAGCAAGGTGAGTCCTGCCAGATGATGAGTAGAGGTGTTAATCCTGGCGAGGTTGAGGATCCGAACTTTATTTACATGGCCAGTAGTGACGTCGCGAGACTTCTCAGGCAGTTGGCAGTCGAAGCGAAGGCTGATACGCTGCCAACGAGATGTACCGGAGAGCTGTTTTTTTCATCGGACGAGACAGGAGTTCCTTTTGATCAAGAGGAACATCAAATTCATTCGGAAGTTCTACAGAAACTATCCGAATGATATTGCGAGGTACTTCTTGATTGAAAGGATTCCCAGACCTAGTGCGAAGACTACCACTGTAGTCCTTTCAAAGAAGGAGAAAACTCTTGGAGATCCCAGCACATCTAGGAAGCTGGTGACTGAGACGTCTAAGCCCTTAGTATCCCCAAGGGTAAAATGGTAAATTCGCGCATTCTATAGGCCTTCAAAAATATTTTTTTTTCTAAATCCACGTCTACTATAGGTCTCCAAAAACATTTTTTTTCTAGAAATGTTTTTTTTTTTTTAATTTCACGCCTTTTATAGGTCTCCAAGAAATGTTTTTTAATCCATGCCTTTTATAGTTCTCCAAGAAATTTTTTTTAATCCATGCCTTTTATAGTTCTCCAAGAAATGTTTTTTTTTTAATCCACGCCTTTTATAGGTCTCAAAAAAATGTTTCTTTATAATCCACTCCTTATAGGTCTCCAAGAAATGTTTTTTAATCCACCCCTTTTATAGGTCTCCAAGATTTTTTTTAATCCACGCCTTTTATAGGTCTCCAAGAAATGTTTTTTTTTTTTAAATCCACGCCTTTTATAAGTCTCTAAGAAATGTTTTTTTCTAAATCCACACCTACTATAGGTCTCCAGAAACTACTTTTTAAAAATCCACACCTACTATAGGTCTCCAAAAACTACTTTTTAAAAATCCAAACCATCTATAGGTCTCCAAAAATCAATTTTTTAAAATCCACTCCATCTATAGGTCTCCAAAAATCAATTTTTTAAAATCCACGCCTTGTATAGATCTCCAAAAAATACTTTTTAAAATCCACGCCTTGTATAGATCTCCAAAAAATACTTTTTAAAATCCACGCCTTGTATAGATCTCCAAAAAATACTTTTTAAAATCCACGCCTTGTATAGATCTCCAAAAAATACTTTTTAAAATCCACGCCTTGTATAGATCTCCAAAAAATACTTTTTAAAATCCACGCCTTGTATAGATCTCCAAAAAATACTTTTTAAAAATCCACGCCTTTTGTAGGTTGCACTTGTAACATCCCACCAATTTAAAAATTCACATAAAGGGTTTACAGACAATATAAAAACCACCATCCTCTCAGATTGCTCCAACATGACTCATTGCTTTATTTACCTCTCTTCTTAACTCTGAATCTGTTACAGAAGCCTTATACTTTACCTATCCTCTTTGGAATTGTCCTTGATTTGCATTATTTGTTGTGGGTGTATTCAGATTTTTAATCTGTTCATACAAATCCCTTAGAAAGAAATTTAAAGCAACAGATTTTCTTACCCCAAAAATCTCCACACTCCAATATAAAAAAGTGAAATACAAATAAAATATACAATTTGCATGCAAACGAGCATGATATGATAATTATACGATAATATTCTTAAATCTCTGTAACTACTGGCACTCGCAAATACTTTATAAAGCCCAATTTATTGCTGGACAATGACATCATTTTGTTTGTTGTTTGTTGCTGCTGCTAAGCAAACAACAAGAATGCCTAACAAACCACAATTTTATTGCATTTATTACAAAAAAGAAAAATACTATATTTTATTCTTCTTACAATATTTTTATTCACGCATTAGGTATTTTTTATTGCATTTATTTAAATGGCATGGCATGGCGCCTGTGCATAACATTTAATTGCCCAAAAAAAGCAAGCATACTTGTTGATGCTACTACCCTGCTGCTGCATGGCTGTCGGGCAGGCACATAATTATTGGCAATTTTATCGTTTTTTTGTTCTAGGGCCCCAAAGTCACGAATCGCGTTAAGAGGCAAACATAAATGCAAGCATTGTAGCAAAAATTACGTCCCCCTTTTACAGCTGGAAAAAAATAACCACCCTATCGCAAAAGTAAAATATCCTCGTGTTTTTTTTTATTCTTTGTTCTTATATCAGATTGCTTTGTGCCATTGAATGAAGTATCATCAGAATAATACAGTGTGGTTTAAAATTATAGCATTGTTTTATCTTCAATATTTTTATACCCTTTACCACACTGTGGTATAGGGTATTATGTCATTGTGCATATGTTTGTAATAGGCAAAAGAAAACGAGATAGACCCATGGTTCCTTTTGAGAATATGCATAGAATCACTTTCTGAGTCGATTTATGCATGTCCGTCCGTCCGTCTGTCTGTCCATGTTAAAATGTAAACGAAGTGCAGGTCGCATTTATTATCCGAATTAGATGAAATTTGTCCCAAGGACGAAATTGGGAAAAATCGGTTCAGATTTAGATATAGCTCCCATATATATTTTTGTCCGATTTTTAGCAAATGGTGCACCAAAGAGTGAAATGTAGGCAGAATGGCACAAAATTTTCCACAATGCACTGAAGTTAGGATACACTAGCGTGTGTCAAGTTTTATTAAAATCGGTTTAGATTTAGATATAGCTCCCATCAGGGACGTACGCAGGGGGGAAGCCCGGGAAATTAATTTTTTCCACTGTAAATTTATTTAGGATACACTAGCGTGTGCCAATTTTTTTTTAAAACGGTTCATATTTAGATATAGCTCCCATATTTAGTTTCGTCCGATTTTAAGTAAATGGTGCACCATAGAGTCAAATGTAGGCAGAATGGCACAAAATTTTCCACAACGCACTGAAGTTAGGATACACTAGCGTGTGTCAAGTTTTATTAAAATCGGTTTAGATTTAGATATAGCTCCTATCAGGGACGTACGCAGGGGGGAATGAATTTTTTCCACTGTAAATTTATGTTTACAACCGCGAATTTTTCATTTTGTACTACCGGCCCCCCCAAATGAAATCCTGTGTACGTTGCTGGCTCCCATATTTAGTTTCGTCCGATTTTATGTAAATTGTGCACCAAAGAGTCAAATTAAGGCCGATTTGCACGAAATTTTGCACAACGTAATGAAGTTAGGATACACTAACGAGTGCCAAGTTTTAGATAAATCGGTTCAGATTTATATGTAGCTCCCATATATATTTTCGTCCGATTTTTGTTAAATGGTCCACCAAGGAGTCAAATCTAGGCCAATTGGCACGAAATTTTGCACAACTTACTGATGTTAGGATACCTATAATATTCGACGATTTTTTTAAAAAATATTTTTTCATTGCCTATAATAGTCGTTGATTTTTTGAGAAGTATTTTTCAAGGCCTATAACAGTCGTTGATTTTTTGAGGAATATTTTTCAAGGCCTATAACAGTCGTTGATTTGTTAAAGAATATTTTTTCAAGGCGTTTAATAGGCGTGGAATTTTAAAAGAATATTTTTCAGGGTCTAAAAGACGCGTGGATGTTTAAAAGAATATTTTTTCTGTGTCTAACAAAGGCTTGGATTTTTAAAATAATATTTTTTCAGGGTCTATAGCGGGCGTGGATTTTTTTAAAAAAATATTTTTTCAATGCCCATAATAGGGCCTGAAGGAGGCGTGGATTTTTTAAATAATAATTTTCAAGGACCATCAATAGGCGTGGATTCGTTAAGGACTATTTTTCAGGGTCTATAGCGGGCGTGGATTCGTTAAGGACTATTTTCCAAAGACTATCAATAGGCGTGGATTCGTTAAGGACTATTTTTCAAGGACCATCAATAGGCGTGGATTTGTTAAGGACTATTTTTCAAAGACCATCAATAGGCGTGGATTCGTTAAGTACTATTTTTCAAGGACCATCAACAGGCGTGGATTTGTTGAGGACTATTTTTCAAGGACCATCAATAGGCGTGGATTTGTTAAGGACTATTTTTCAAGGACCATCAATAGGCTTGGATTTGTAGAGGACTATTTTTCAAGGACCATCAATAGGCGTGGATTCGTTAAGGACTATTTTTCAGGGTCTATAGCGGGCGTGGATTCGTTAAGGACTATTTTCCAAAGACTATCAATAGGCGTGGATTCGTTAAGGACTATTTTTCAAGGACCATCAATAGGCGTGGATTTGTTAAGGACTATTTTTCAAGGACCATCAATAGGCTTGGATTTGTAGAGGACTATTTTTCAAGGACCATCAAAAGGCGTGGATTTGTTGAGGACTATTTTTCAAGGACCATCAATAGGCGTGGATTTGTTAAGGACTACTTTTCAAGGACCATCAATAGGCGTGGATTAAGGACTATTTTTCAAGGACCATCAATAGGCGTGGATTTGTTAAGGACTATTTTTCAAGGACCATCAATAGGCTTGGATTTGTAGAGGACTATTTTTCAAGGACCATCAACAGGCGTGGATTTGTTGAGGACTATTTTTCAAGGACCATCAATAGGCGTGGATTTGTTAAGGACTACTTTTCAAGGACCATCAATAGGCGTGGATTAAGGACTATTTTTCAAGGACCATCAATAGGCGTGGATTTGTTGAGGACTATTTTTCAAGGACCATCAACAGGCGTGGATTTGTTGAGGACTATTTTTCAAGGACCATCAACAGGCGTGGATTTGTTGAGGACTATTTTTCAAGGACCATCAATAGGCGTGGATTTGTTAAGGACTATTTTTCAAGGACCATCAATAGGCGTGGATTTGTTAAGGACTATTTTTCAAGGACCATCAATAGGCGTGGATTTGTTAAGGACTATTTTTCAAGGACCAACAATAGGCGTGGATGTGTTAAGGACTATTTTTCAAGGACCAACAATAGGCGTGGATTTGTTAAGGACTATTTTTCAAGGACCATGAAATCCAAGCCTCTGTTGGTCCCTGAAAAAATATCCTATAAAAAATCCAAGCCTTAATAGTCCTTGAAAAAATATTTTTATAAAAATCCACGCTGTAGGTCCTTGAAAAAATAGTCTTTATAAAATCCAAGCCTTGTAGGTCCTTGAAGAAATGTTCTTTAAAAATCCAAAATGACTTAACAATATTCATTTAAAAATCCACGCCTCTAATAGTTCCTGAAAAAATATTCTTCACCCTCACCATTTCGGTGTGTTAAAGGTCTCACAGTTGCTATAATTATGCCCTGCACTGTTGTTATGCGCAAAACGTTGCTTCAAAAGCTCCTTAGCAGCAAATTTGTGTTCTTCTCTCATACGGAAGCACACGGAAACAAGTCGTAGTAGTCAGTTATTATTTTGGCGCCATACAGTTCAAGCGGCCTTACACACACACACACACAGCAGGCGAACGTCTTCCAAACACGATAATTAATTTCAACATATTTTATTTATTTTTTGTGAATTGTTTATATATTATTTTAGATACTAACCTAACATGTGTTACATGTAAATTATTATAAAATTTGTTAATTTTTATTTTTTGAAAATAATTTGGATTTTTTTTGTTAATTTTAATTTTTTTTTTGTTTCTTTTTTCTCCTCATTTTTTTTCCTTACATTATTTTCTGTTACGTTGTTAACCCCCGATATTCAACACAACGTCACATCATTTTGTCATCATAACCAAAAAACCAAAAACAACAAAATCCAAAATTTCTATACCATTGCCCCACCATCAACAACAACAATGACATCGTCAATAAATATAACTACGATGACCACCACAAAATCACAAACAATGGTGGTAAAAACCTCTGGTATGATTGTGACTACTGCCGTTGGCTCTACGACCTCGGTGTCCGGTACTGCTGCTACTGCTAATGTTGGTCTTATTATACCGCGATCTGCTATATTTGCCATGGATACGCATGATGATGATGTGGATGGACCCTCTCTTCTAATAGATTGTGATTCAAATAGTCTAAATGATATTACCCAGCTGAGTAGCAGTGACACACTAAGCGATGAAAGTACAACAAACATAGACGGGGATGATATCTACAATACGCATAATTTAAACAGCATATCGAACAAAAACTACAATCACAGCAGCAACAACAACAGCATATGTACGACTAATTTAAGTCAACCATTTACGACGGCCACAACAATTGCCACGGCTGTTGCATCGGCTTTGCCGTTGACTTTAAGTAACGATGATATTCATCAGGCAATTAACACCAGCACCATCATCATTCATAACAATAATATCAACAACATCATCAACAACAACAACAATAATAACAACACTAGCAATAGCAACAAAAGCCACAGTAGCAGCAGCAGCGGCAACGGCACAACCCCAACCAGCAGTACTGCCTATCATCCGAGTGTCATTGCGGCGAATACAACACCGTCACGACGCAAACCGAGCGTTAGCACCAGCACTGGCATCAGCGTCAGTGCTGGCTATCCCGGTCTCATGTCATCGGTGAACACCAGCAACAATCTCAGTGATAAATTCGATCAACGTCCCATTAAACATCATTCTTTTGTCTCAGAAGTACCGGATGTTAAACATATGGAGCGGGCACTGTTAGGACTATTGGATGATTTCCATTCGGGGAAACTGAAAGCGTTTGGTGAGTAGTTAATGAAATTTAAAATTTGATTTTTTATAATTTGTTTAATTTAATTATGTAGAAATTAGTAATTTGGAGTAATAGTACAAATTTGAAGGAGCGGAAATGGTCCTATGTCCCTTTTGGTTTCGTAGTGTTTAGAACTCCAGATATCTGCAAACAAACATTAATAGAGACTCCCCGAGGCGAGATATAAAGACTTCCATATCCTTTTTAGCCTGACCAGAAGTTTCAGCTCGTCTATAAAGTCGTCTATAAGGACTCCCTTCAGCGCTCTATAAAGACTTCCTTCAGCTCATCTATAGAGACTCCCTTTAGCTAGTCTAGAAAGACCCCCTTCAGTTCGTATATAAAGGCTAATTTCAGCTCGTCTGGGAAGACTCCCTTCAGCTCGTCTAGAAAGACTCCCTTCTTCCATAAGCCAAGCTTAAAAAATATTTCTAAACGTGTCGGTCTTGTGCGCATCTCCTCCAATTTGAAAGACCACGTTCCAAGATGTTGTTTTCTACTTGGTCTTTCCATCTAGTTCGTGATCTTCCCCTTCTGCGTGAGCCATCAACAGGTTCGTTTTTATATGCCTTTTGGGCCCATGATGCCCATATTTATCCATTCTCACAACATGACCTAGCCAACGTCGTCGCTGTAGCTCAATACGTCTAACAACGCCGATGTCCGAGAATAGCTGGTACAGCTCATGTTTCATTCGACAGCGATATTCACCGTCAAGGCAGATCGGCTCTTTCGGAGAATTTGTCTCTCAAACACTCCAAGAGCTGCCTCATCTGCTTGCGTAAGTACCCATGCTTCAGATCCATATAACAGCACGAGTAGTATCAGGGTATTATCAGAGTATCAGAGTGCGAGTTTAGTCTGGCGGGAGGTGGCCTTGCTTTTGAGTTGCTTACTCAGACCATAGTAGCATCTGTTGGCCAACACTATCCTTCACCGAATTTCAAAACTGATGTCATTAGTTTTATTTATGACGGTAGCAAGGTATATAAAATCTTTGACTACTTCGAAGCTGGACGTCTTGCGCGTTGTTACCATCAGCTTGGTTTTCTCGCCGTTTACTGCCAGACCCACTTTGGGAGACACCTTCTCAATTTGTTCAAAATTGGCTGTTACCGCTCTCAATGTTCGACCCATTATGTCGATGTCATCGGCGTAGGCGAGTAACATGTGTTGTTTGGTGTACAAAGTACCATTTCTGGTCACCTTTGCCTTGCGTATGATCTTTTCCAGCAGAATGTTAAAAAGGTCACACGACAAACTGTCACCTTGTCTGAATCCTCGTTCGGTATTAAAGGCTCGAGAGGGCCTTTCCGACTTTAACTGCTGATCTTGTGCCAGGTAAAGTTATCCTGCATAGCCGAATTAATTTTGCAGGAATGCCGAACGCATGGCTTTAACACCCCTGAACGGATAGGGCTGTCGAATGCGGCTTTATAATCGACGAATAGGAGGAATGTGTCGATGTGTTTTTCGTGTTTTTTTTTTAGGATTTGGCGCAGAGTGAAAATCTGGTCAATGGTGAACTTGCCAGGTCTGAAGCCGCATTGGTATGGTCCAATAATGCCATTGAACATTGGCTTCAGTCGTTCACACAGTACGCTGGATAGCACTTTATATGCGATGGGAAGGAGACTTATTCCTCTATTATTGGCACATATCGTCTTGTCTCCTTTTCTATTCACGGGACACAGGATGCTGAGGTTCCAATCATTGGGCATGCATTCCTCTAGCTAAATCAGCTGGTGCATGCTCCTTACCAGAATCTGACCACCAGTCTTGAATAGTTCGGCTGGTAGCCCATCGGTTCCTGCTGCTTTATTGTTCTTCAGCAGATTTCTTGTTATTCTGACCTCATCTTGGCTAGGTGGTATACAATCTATACCGTCATCTCTTATTGGTTCTGGGGTATCTTCTTCATCGCCACTACTTGATACCAGAAGCTTTTCAAAAAGCTCCTTCCAGATCCTCAACACGCTGTCTGTATCTGTCACCAGGTTTCCTTCTTCATCTCTGCAGGTGAATGGGCCTGCACCAAAGCCTTCGATTTGGTGTTTTACTCGTTGGTAAAACTCCCGGACTTCATTCTGACTCCTGTACATCTCGATTTGCTCACGTTTTTCTTGTTCTTTCTTCTTTTTTCTGAAACACGTTTCTCCTCTCTCGATTTCTCCCGATAGTTTTCCATCGCATTACGTGTTGCTACTGTCCGCAGCGTTGCCCTATACGCTGCGTTTTTCATATCAGTAGCATTACGACACTCCTGATCTTACCACGGATTTCTTGATGGTGGTCTTAGTTACCCAAGTGTTGCTTTTGCTGCAGTTTGTAGGGAGTGGTCAATTCTCTGCCATTGTGCTTCTATACTATTATCGGGACAAGAAGTGCTTCCGTCAACCAGGTGGGTAAGTTGAGCGGAGAAGGCTTCTGCTATCTGTTGTGTTTGCACCTTTTTGACGTAAAATTTCCGTGTTACATTAGACCGCACCTTTGCTGCTACATTGAGACGGGTGCGAACCTTGGCTGCTACAAGCTAGTGGTTCGAATCGATATTCGCTCCTCGTATCGATCGAATGTCTAAAACACTGGACGAATGCCTCCCGTCAATCACAACATGGTCAATTTGATTTCTCGTTGCTTGATCAGGAGAACTCCAGATGGCCTTGTGTATATCGAGATGCTTGAATCTGGTGCTACTAACTACCATATTTGTTGCTGCCGCGAAATCAATCAACCTCATGTCGTTGTCTGATGTTTCTTCAAAAATCGGAAGATATTTTCCCTTTCGATTTTTGCATTAAAATCTCGTAGCCGAATTTTAATGTCAGGGCCAGGACAACGATCATATGCTGTTTCTATTCTTCTATCTTTATCTTCGGTCGTAGCATGGGCGCAAATAAGACTGATGTAGAATAACTTCGCGTTTATACGGATTATAACAATTCGCTCATCTACTGGAGTGAATCTGGAGACGAGGTTTTTTTATTCTCCTATTAACCATAAATCCACAGCCAAATGTACGTCTCGTTTCATCGCAGCTATAATATACGTCGTAATCATCTGATTTACTTACGCCATTCCCCATCTTCGGAACTAAGTTTGAAGAAATAATAAGATGGGCAAAGTTCTGATGAAATCTAAATTTTCTGAAACGGATTTGGTCCAAAGAAACATGGGGTCCCTTTCCATCGCATTTCCTGTAAGGCAATAATATCGGCTTTGTACTTCTTGAGTCAAGGCGAAAACTTCGCCCGTTCTGTACAACGTGCGCACATTCCAAGTGTAGATTCGCAGATCGTGGTCCTTTATATGTTTGCGGGGTTTTCTTTTTCGTTGCTTTTTCATAGTAAGTGTGGGCAACTAACCCGACGCTTCAACCCATTTTTTATAGTTCTTATGGTTGAACTCGAGGCAAATATCAACTCACTATTTCAAAGGATGATGAAAGTAGTTAGCCCAGGTGAAACCGCGGGAAGGTCAGTATCCACAATTGAGATGAAAGAGGGACCAAGATAACCATGGACTTCGCCATGTTAAAGCCAATCAGAGCCCCACGCTTCTTATAGACCCTAAAAAATCGTTATATGTCATGTGTGTCCCTCCACCCCAAGATAATTCATATTTACCCATAGTAATACAAAACAAAAAATCAAAACATTGATAAACAAAAATTAAATAACCTCATAATTGCGATAAAAGTCAACAACAGCAACAACTACAAATTTCTTCCTATTATTTATTATTCGCCATATCTTATCATTTGAGTGATATTTTTGTTTTTGCCTTTTGCAATTAATTGTAGTTAAGATTTTCTAAAAAACAATAACAATTCGATTATTTGCATTTAACTTTTTTCTTTCTTTCCGAAACCATCTCGACCGCCACCCACTCACCATAGGTTCCGGCTGTACCATGGATCAAATGACAAAAATACGCGAACAACAAGAAAGCCTTGCCAAATTGCATTTCGAACTGGCCGCCTCCGAGGAAGATTCACTGGAGAATGGTAATGACTTTAATGCCGCCAAAGCTCAAGAGAATATGCTGCAGCTGATGCAACGTTTGGAACAGCTTTCAATTTCTATTGAACAATTGCAGACCAGTCACACTGGACTCTGAGATTTACTGCAAGCAACGTGTGACAACGTGAGTGGTAGTGATGTAGTAGTTGCGGGAACTGGTAGCAGTAATAGAGCGGTGCTAACAACAACGATGACGACGACGATATCCGCTGTAAGCGATTTTGTGGTAACTGATGAGCGGCCAACATTATTAACATCCTCATCCCAACCAGAAACGGTTGATGCACGTTTGCTTTTACTATTGTTGTGATTTCATTTTCTAAAAAACAAAAACAAAACGGAATTTTAAAAAACGAAAAGAAACAATTGTAAACATATGGTTCTATATATAAAAAATTAATTATTTGATAACCAGGAAATTTCTAAAAAAAAAACAAAATCCCAAATCTCCCAAAGTTCTTTCTTATTGCTCTCTTGTAAGATCCCTCCATTCATCCTTTTTATATGTTTTTGTAAAGATTCTCCACTTTTTTTTTGTTATTTTTGTACTGTTTATAATCTTGTTTATATATATTTTTGTTTTTGGTTTCCATTTATTTTTGTATTTACCTTTTTTGTAAAGTTTAAAGTTATTTTTTTATAATAATAATTAAGTAAGCAAGGATAAAAAATAATTACAGTTGAAAAAAAAAAAACAAAATACAACCTTTTTTATGGTAGTAAAATTTTTTGTAGGAGTTTATTGTCAATATTAAAACAAAAAACACAGAATGATAACTTTAGTAGTAACAAAATCAATTGCAATTGATTTTAAACAAAAAAACAATTTAAAGAAATAAATATTATCAATAAATAGAAACCAAAAATATGTTTTAAATGAAAATGTGTGTTTTTATACTATTATTTTTACAGGTATAAAATATTCTTTAAAAAATCCTCGCCCCTAATAATTCACTTAAAAATCAATCAAAAAATATACTTTAAAAAATCCACGCCTCGGATAATCCCTCAAAAAATATACTTTAAAAAATCCACGCCTCGGATAATCCCTCAAAAAATATACTTTAAAAAATCCACGCCTCGGATAATCCCTCAAAAAATATACTTTAAAAAATCCACGCCTCGGATAATCCCTCAAAAAATATACTTTAAAAAATCCACGCCTCGGATAATCCCTCAAAAAATATACTTTAAAAAATCCACGCCTCGGATAATCCCTCAAAAAATATACTTTAAAAAATCCACGCCTCGGATAATCCCTCAAAAAATATACTTTAAAAAATCCACGCCTCGGATAATCCCTCAAAAAATATACTTTAAAAAATCCACGCCTCGGATAATCCCTCAAAAAATATACTTTAAAAAATCCACGCCTCGGATAATCCCTCAAAAAATATACTTTAAAAAATCCACGCCTCGGATAATCCCTCAAAAAATATACTTTAAAAAATCCACGCCTCGGATAATCCCTCAAAAAATATACTTTAAAAAATCCACGCCTCGGATAATCCCTCAAAAAATATACTTTAAAAAATCCACGCCTCGGATAATCCCTCAAAAAATATACTTTAAAAAATCCACGCCTCGGATAATCCCTCAAAAAATATACTTTAAAAAATCCACGCCTCGGATAATCCCTCAAAAAATATACTTTAAAAAATCCACGCCTCGGATAATCCCTCAAAAAATATACTTTAAAAAATCCACGCCTCGGATAATCCCTCAAAAAATATACTTTAAAAAATCCACGCCTCGGATAATCCCTCAAAAAATATACTTTAAAAAATCCACGCCTCGGATAATCCCTCAAAAAATATACTTTAAAAAATCCACGCCTCGGATAATCCCTCAAAAAATATACTTTAAAAAATCCACGCCTCGGATAATCCCTCAAAAAATATACTTTAAAAAATCCACGCCTCGGATAATCCCTCAAAAAATATACTTTAAAAAATCCACGCCTCGGATAATCCCTCAAAAAATATACTTTAAAAAATCCACGCCTCGGATAATCACTCAAAAAATATACTTTAAAAAATCCACGCCTCGGATAATCCCTCAAAAAATATACTTTAAAAAATCCACGCCTCGGATAATCCCTCAAAAAATATACTTTAAAAAATCCACGCCTCGGATAATCCCTCAAAAAATATACTTTAAAAAATCCACGCCTCGGATAATCCCTCAAAAAACAATCTTTAAAAAATCCACGCCTAGGATAATCCCTCAAAGAACAATCTTTAAAAAATCCACGCCTAGGATAATCCCTCAAAAAACAATCTTTAAAAAATCCTCGGATAATCCCTCAAAAAACAATCTTTAAAAAATCCTCGGATAATCCCTCAAAAAAAAAATATATATTTTTTTTGAGGGATTATCCGAGGCGTGGATTTTTATAAAGAATATTTTTTCAAGGGCCCCAAATAAGCGTGGATTTTTATAAAGAATATTTTTTCAAGGGCCCCAAATAGGCGTGGATTTTTATATAGAATATTTTTTCAAGGGCCCCAAATAGGTGTGGATATTTATATAGAATATTTTTTCAAGGGCCCCAAATAGGCGTGATATTATTATTAAAGGATATTTTTTCAAAGGCCCCAAATAGGCGTGGTATTATTATTAAAGAATATTTTTTCAAGGGCCCCAAATAGGTGTGGTATTATTATTAAAGGATATTTTTTCAAAGGTCCCAAATACGCGTAGATTTATTAAAGAATATTTTTTCAAGGGTCCCAAATACGCGTAGATTTATTAAAGAATATTTTTTCAAGGGTCCCAAATACGCGTGGATTTATTGAAGAATATTTTTTCAATGGCCCCAAATAGGCGTGGATTTATTAAAGAATAGTTTTTCAATGGCCCCAAATAGGCGTGGATTTTTATAAAGAATATTTTTTCAAGGGCCCAAAAATTTAGATATGACTCAAAATATCAAAAATGACACGTTACCATTATATGGAAGCTAGATAAAAAACATAGACCCCTGTAGTCCTATGAGAAGCTTGTTTATACTTTGAAAAACCGAAATACCCAATTACAACACTTAAAATATCGAAAATCATTCTGGACACATATTTATATAGGAACTACTCGTCAAAATATATACTCCTATACTAAAAAATATATATGTCAAGAAGTGGTATTTTATCCATCCACTTTGATTGGAAAATGCGAATACGAACAGCATTTTGCCGATTTAAATTATGTCCACATGATAAAATTGCACCACAACATTGTTCTCTTTATTTCCTTAATTTTTCCGACAATCGTTATTGTTTTTCTCAAAATAAATTGATTTCCCAATGACAACAAGTATTCAGCAACAATCTTATATCATAATTTACTCAAAAACACCAATTTCCAGCCATTCAAAGCTAATTTGACGTTTTTGCAAACGATCATGATTTTGATAGTTCTCCGTTGTGAGTTTTGTGTGTTTATCGATACTCATACAAACAACACAATCTCCCCTAAACAATGGTGCATGTTTGATGTTAATACGTTCATTAATTACAGAGTTATAGCCATTTAAAGTTAACCTTGTGTCAAAATATAGCGGCTACACGATTCTGTTGGCCTGGTAGCTCAAATTGGAAAAATGGTTGAAATTGGCATTTTCACAAAAGCGAAAAAGTACAAAACAGCAGCATCATTGCCACATTGTTCGATTTTTTCTTTGATTTGATGGTTGGTTTACAAAATTCTGAGCATACTTTCAGGCGCATCATTTAAAACGATATCCATGTGAAAGTTATATGTTCGTGATTTTAATGTAACGCCTGAAAGTATGCTCAGAATTTATAAACTAACATTGAAACACTATGGTGGCGGCGATCTGGTAACATTGCAGTATTTTATGTTTTTGCCCATATGCGATTTCTTCATTTTTCCAATTTGAGGTACCAGACCAACAGAATCGTGTAGCCGCTATATTTTGACAGAAGGTTAACTTTAAATGGCTATAACTCAGTAATGAATGAACGTATTGACATCAAACTTGTACCATTGTTTAGGGGAGATTGTGTTGCTTGTATGTGTGTCGATAAACACACACAACTCACAACGGAGAACTATGAAAATCATGATCGTTTGCAAAAACGTTGAATTAGCTTTGAATGGATGGAAATTGGTGTATTTGAGAAAATGTTGATATTAGATTGTTGCTGAATGCTTGTTGTCATTTGGAAATAATTCATTTTCAGAAAAACAATAACGAAAATTAAGGAAATAAAGAGAACATGTTGTGTTGCAATTTTATCAAGTGGACATAATTTAAATCGGCAAAATGCTGTTCGCATTCGCATTTTCCAATCAAAGTGGTTGAAATTTGACATTTAAGATTTCAGAGGATAAAATACCACCTTGAAAAAATATTCTTTAATAATAATACCACGCCTATTTGGGGCCCTTGAAAAAATATTCTTTAATAATAATACCACGCCTATTTGGGGCCCTTGAAAAAATATTCTTTAATAATAATACCACGCATATTTGGGGCCCTTGAAAAAAATATTCTTTACTAAATCCAGGTCTATTTGGGGGCCTTGAAAGTATATTTTATGAGGGATTATCCAAGGCGTGGATTTTTGAGGGATTATCCGAGGCGTGGATTTTTTAAAGTATATTTTTTCGAGGCGTGGATTTTTTAAAGAATATTTTTTCGAGGCGTGGATTTTTTAAAGTATATTTTTTGAGGGATTATCCAAGGCGTGGATTTTTGAGGGATCATCCGAGGCGTGGACTTTTTAAAGTATATTTTTTTGAGGGATTATCCAAGGCGTGGATTTTTGAGGGATTATCCGAGGCGTGGATTTTTTAAAGTATATTTTTTGAGGGATTATCCAAGGCGTGGATTTTTGAGGGATTATTCGGGGCGTGGATTTTTTAAAGTATTTTTTTTGAGGGATTATTCGAGGCGTGGATTTTTTAAAGTACATTTTTTAAGGATTATCCGAGGCGTTGATTTTTTAAAGTACATTTTTTGAGGGATTATCCGAGGCGTTGATTTTTATAGTATATTTCTTGAGGGATTATTAGAGGATTTTAAAGAATATTTTTTCGGGGACTAATTTAAATACTTACTTCCACCAACCATTTGTAAATAATAAACAATATTTTTTTTTATATTTTCATAATGA